AGCTCTTCTATGGCTTTAGGCCTCTTTAAAAACACTTATCTGCATCCTTAGACTCTCATCCCTTCTTTTTAATAACAGGCTGTGAAATGCTTGGGTCGGCACCAGAACCAATAGACCCACATTGTCTGTAGAGTCAAAAATTGTGAGGACTGCTGTGGAAGAAGAAGCTGACTCTGTTCAATCTTCGCCTCCTGTCATCTGGATCGGACTCAAGGCAAAGCAGCAGGAATAAGCCTGGAACCGCATCCTCGGATACGCTGTGACCTTCTGGGCCGGATCAGGAGCATCATCAGGATCAGGAGGCTCGGCTTAAGGAGAAGGAGCTCAGAATGGAGCCGCTGCTCCTTCTCATGGCAAAGGGACCACTTTATTAACTACAGCTAGTCAGGATATTTCAACACTATTCTATTCTATTCTATTATGTTTAATTTAATTCTATTCTATTCTGCTCTGTTTCTCTTCTATTCTACTCTATTCTATTCTATTATTTTTAATTTAATTCTATTCTGCTCTGTTTGTTTCTCTTCTATTCTGCTCTATTCTATTCTGTTCTATTCTATTCTATTATGTTTAATTTAATTCTATTCTATTCTGCTCTGTTTCTCTTCTATTCTACTCTATTCTATGCTGTTCTATTCTATTATTTTTAACTTAATTCTATTCTGCTCTGTTTGTTTCTCTTCTATTCTGCTCTATTCTATTCTGTTCTATTCTATTCTATTATGTTTAATTTAATTCTATTCTAATCTGCTTTGTTTGTTTTCTCTTCTATTCTGCTCTATTCTATTCTATTATGTTTAATTTAATTCTATTCTATTCTGCTCTGTTTCTCTTCTATTCTGCTCTATTCTATTCTATTATTTTTAATTTAATTCTATTCTGCTCTGTTTGTTTCTCTTCTATTCTGCTCTATTCTATTCTGTTCTATTCTATTCTATTATGTTTAATTTAATTCTATTCTATTCTGCTCTGTTTCTCTTCTATTCTACTCTATTCTATGCTGTTCTATTCTATTATTTTTAACTTAATTCTATTCTGCTCTGTTTGTTTCTCTTCTATTCTGCTCTATTCTATTCTGTTCTATTCTATTCTATTATGTTTAATTTAATTCTATTCTAATCTGCTTTGTTTGTTTTCTCTTCTATTCTGCTCTATTCTATTCTATTCTATTATTTTTAATTTAATTCTATTCTGCTCTGTTTGTTTCTCTTCTATTCTACTCTATTCTATGCTGTTCTATTCTGTTCTATTCTATTCTATTTTGCTCTATTCTATTCTATTCTATTCTGCTCTATTCTATTGTATTTTGCTCTATTCTATTCTATTGTGTTTTGTTCTATTCTATTCTGGTGAAGGCTCTTGGTCATGAAGGAAAATGCAAATCCAAGATGACTGGAAGGACAGAGCTGCTCATGAACTGTTGTATTTATGGATGTTTCTTTGTTTGCTCCTTAATACACGCCTTTCATGGTTTCCTACGTGTAACTCATGGCGGTAAAACAAGCACCTCTGTATCTTCAGAATGAATGAGAAACAGTAAAAACAATGTAAAGCATCTGATACAGCATGCTGCGCATTAATACACTTATTCTGATCAGAAATCAGTTTGAAATAGCAGGAGAAGTTAAAATTCATTTTATTCAGAACCCCCTGTTCCTGTCTGTCTCTCTGTGAAGCTGGTTAGTTTTAAATCTAATTTTTTAATGAAATTTGGTGAAATAATGACCTGATTTCCACACAGCTTGTATCACTTAAAGGAACAAGAGGCAGGAATTTTAAAAGAATACACATTCATGTCTAGTTTTTTAATGCTAAAGGTTAATGAAGCGTTAGCAACCAGAAACAAGAAGCCCACCCACACCTCCCTCCATTGCCTGCACAATATGCTGCTATTCAGGGCTGAATTTCCTGCAGTCCTACGGATGGGACGCCATGTGCACCGCCGGCAGCTTTGAGACAGGAAGTCATAGGCTGTGTCCGAACATCCAACCTAACCCCTCCATGGAGCACCGTAGTGGTTACAACACAAAAATGAGCACACTTGCAGCGTGCAGGTGGCGCAGTGGTTAGAGAGCACAACCCATGCCGATGCAGGTTCCACTCCGGCCTGTGGTCCTATGCCACACATATCTCCCCCTCTCTCTTACCCCCTTTCCTGTCTGCCTACTGTTAAAAAATTAGCCACTAGTGCTGTAAAAACTCCAAAAAAAATGAAAAATCAGGGGACTCAAAATTTCCCACAATGCACCTTGAAAAGTAGTGATCATCCATGGTCACTAGATGAGCAGATGCGTCCCACAATGCTTTGCAAGAGCTCTCCTTGCAAAGTATCATGGGATCTGTTTTAAATAAGATGGCGGAGGCACTGTGCGGGAAGGCGGAGTCACTTGAGCAACGGGGAGTGAAAAGTAGTGATTATCTGTCCAAACGGTCAGTGAATAAGTTCACTATATAGTCCCTGCTCTATATAGTGATTGTCAGAGGTCAGGGCGGACGTTCAGAACAGCCATTTTTGTTTCAACAGTAAAAGAAGTGGTAGTTTTAAACACTATACTTCGTCGCCTGACATGGTGCTTGTTGCCGTCATAAAATATGCACAGTGGTCTAGCAGTGAACGTCACGTAGTAAACAGCGTTACAGCATCATGATGCCTTTAGTTGCTTTAATGATCGTCTGTCTGATTTCTGTCTGTTTGGTCAAATATGAAGCTGTGCAGTGAGGATGCAGACAAGGGAAAAACCCAAACCTCTTTAATGTGGTTTAAATAAATCCTGAAGGAAAACCTTCTGCATAAGAGAAACAGAGAGACAGCTGTGGTTACAGAGACAGCCTTTGACATGGAAAGGAGAAGATGTTTTGAGATGATGCTGATCTTCTGTCATCTCCAACCAGTCTGCCCCTCCTGCCCTGACAACTGGAACGTATGTCGTTCCACATGCAGCAGGACAACTTTAGAACCATTCTGAGAAAAGCTTGTGTTCGATTATCCCAGTAGATCCGCAGGTTCTGAATGATTTATTTCCTGGATGTTGCTGGTTTTCCCTCCCTCAGACGCTCCCAGCTGTCCTCACCCCGTCTGAGAGGAAGAGTGGGCCTCCTTCCTCATTCTCCTGCTCCTCTGCGTCAGACAGGCTGAGGAAGATGAGCTGCTGCAGAAATCCAAAGAGAAGGTGGTGTTCTTCTCTTCTTTGTTGGTTTTATTTCAGCTATGTCACAGGATGCTGAGGTGAGTGTTCATGTTCTGTGCCCTCAGTGGGTGCATGCACATCAAGACATATCGCTCTTTGTGACAACCACACAGATCAGCTGACCCCTGTGAGCCAATCAGAGCGCCAGATGCAGATACGCATCATTGAAGGTGACACCGACACTCGCAGGGAAAGTGAACTCCTTCCTGTTTCTCAGCTCTTTTCCTTCCTTCAGGACCTGTTGGGGTCTGCAATGCTTCCTACCTCATGATGTAGTTGTGTCCATCGATAGCCGCCCCATATCCGGCTCCACGGAGGTTTCCAGAGTTTCCCACCACGGCACAGCGCAGGCAGCGGCCTGGATCCCACGATCCGTACGGCGAGCGTCCGGGAATCACCTGCATCAACCAGTCATAATGAGATCCACCTTCAAACACTGCCAGAACATTGACTACAAGGCCGGCAGTAGCTAAACAGGATCACAGCTATTAAACCCCACAAAGGAAGATTTCTAGCAACACAGAGCAGCGACTCTACTGAAGACATACCTGGAAGAGCCTGAGCAGCACCTGCTGGATGTTGTGGGGTTTAAACTGGGGCTGCAGCATCTGCAGAAACATGCAAAGACTTTGGTTAGAGGTTCTGTGGAAGTTAAACAGGGACAAAATGATAGCAATTAGAGTCCAAACTGAAGCTGGTAACAGGAAAAAAAGCAACCCTTCTTCAGTCATATAAGCTATGGCCAAGCAGGGCTCTTACACTGAAGGGTCTGTGAGCTTTATTTTGAGCTACGGTGCTGGTAATACTGAACTCTGCAAAGTTTCCTCTTCATTTAAGATTTATTGGGTTCTAATATGAAAGTCCTTTTATCTCAGTTGCTTTTCAGTTTAAAGGAATAGTACACCCAAAACATGATTAGCCTTCATTTTCTACTCACCCCCATGCTGAACAACACTCTGGAGTACTTTTTTGATATCTCAAATGCATCTGGAGATCTGGGAGGCTTCTTGCTGTCTGCTGACATTCAAATAATGGAGGTCTATGGCGCCCGAGACAGAAAGGTCCATAAAAGTCCACAAAAAACGTGTCAATATTCCTCCATACTGCTCGTCCAATGTATTCCAAGTGTCCTGAGTGGGTAGCGTCCATAATTTACTCGACACGAAGTCATTTAGAATGTTTTTAGTGCATAAACAATAGTGTATAGGATTTCCTGAAAGCGCGCACATGCGCGTTCACGACGCTACGGAAACCGGCAGACCAAACCAGATGAAAGTGCGCATTCAGCGTCTGCTCTGCCAATAATGCAAGCGTAGAAGAAGAAATGTGCTGTTTACCTGTGCAAAGAAAGAAACAACGAAAGAAAAATGTCTGAGGACTTCAGTGTTGAGGAAGAGCATGAGTTCTTTGCCGAGGTGAATGCGCACTTTCATCTGGTTTGGTCTGCCGCGGTTTCCGTAGACTCGTGAACGCGCAGGTGCTCGCTTTCAGGAAATCCTATACACTACTGTTTGTGCTCTAAAAACATTCTAAATGACTTCGTTTCGAGTAAATTATGGACGCTACCCACTCAGGACACTTGGAATACATTGGACGAGCAGTATGGAGGAATATTGACACGTTTTTTGTGGACTTTTATGGACCTTTCTGCCTCGGGCACCATAGACCTCCATTATTTGAATGTCAGCAGACAGCAAGAAGCCTCCCAGATCTCCAGATGCATTTGAGATATCAAAAAAGTACTACAGAGTGTTGTTCAGCATGGGGGTGAGTAGAAAATGAAGGCTAATCATGTTTTGGGTGTACTATTCCTTTAAGGTATAGAGGACCATCTTTTATTTCCGGGTGGATCATCTAATTAAGTTTACGTTAGGCCGTCCTATGTGCTCGTCCCGTTAGCTATCTTTTTCTGCGCACTTTCAGGCCTATATCTGTGTTGAGCTACGGTTTCAGACAGTCATTGAAGCTCACCTTTCTCACCGCTGGTATGAGAGGAAAAGAAAGGCCTCAGAAGAGGCAGATGTATCCCAGAATGCTTTGCGCGGAGAGCTTGCAAAGCATTATGGGATTTGCTGTCACAGCGGCCCATAATGACTCATAACAAAGATGGAGCAGGCACCGAGCGGTGGAGAAGGAGTTACGTGACCATCAGGGAGTAAAGGGGTAAAAAATAGTGATCATCTATTCAAAAGGTAAGTTAACTGAATTCACTATAAAGTTCACTATATAGTCCCAGATCTATATAGTGATTGAAGGATTTAGCAATTAGGGCGGACGTTCGGACACAGTAAACTTCTTTTAGATATGAGAACAGGACATTTTAAACAGAGCTTGCATAAGGAGAAATGGGCTCGCACATGCTCTTAAACATGATGGGTACAGGATTGGGCATTGTCAAATTTTTTAAGGAGAGAGGGCGGGTCTTTTCAAAAATTCACGAAAATCCTCCACTATACCTTTAAACAAAGACTTAAATCATCGCACTGGAAAAACAGACCATCTGGGTCCAAATTTGAGAAAACATCACGGCATAACTGCTAAACATGGTGGCAGAGGGACGATAATGTGGGCTAATTCAGCTGAGCTCCATCCATCCATCCATCCATCCATCCATCCATCCATCCATCCATCCATCCATCCATCCATCCATCCATCCATCCATCCATCCAGGAAAAAAGATGAAACCGAAGTAAGTGAATTATTCTTCAAAAAAGTTTATTTTTCTTGAATTGAAGCTAAGCTTTGCCAAAGTAATAAGAAAGTTAACACTTAAAGCTACAGTGTGTAATTTTCAGCGACATCTAGCGGTCAGACTGCAGACTGCAGCAACATGAACATCTCCCCCCCACCGCTTCTCCCCCCCAACAGTACGGCGAGCGTTACGGGACAAAATGTCTTCCACGTCGTCCGCATCACCTACATTCTCAAGTGATGAGGTTTGTTTACATAGATAATTTTACAGATAGTATTTCATTAGTCTATGTAGGGTATAGATTTCATGTAGACTTAAGATAATAAATATACCCGTTATTTTTTCTACATCGTTGTGACATTTTGGCGATCTCGCAATCACTAGTTTGTTGGCTCTGCGCTGCCGTAGCGCAAAGATGTCTGCCTCCATGGCTGCGACACCCGCTCCTATGTAATTATAAATAACGAATTCTAAAGCAACGCAAATATTAAGGTTAAGAGGCTGAGCTTGTAGATGATGATAAATAACATAGTTATGTATAATATATTACATTTCTGATTGTATATCCCTGTAATTATTACACACTGTAGCTTTAAGACAAGAAAAAAACAACTGTAGTCTATTAGTATCTAATTTTGTTTGCAGCCTTTCTGAACTTTACCAAGCCGCTTCTCTGAATGTAGAGTAACGTGTTGTCTGGTCTAAACCTCGTTTCCTCTCTGCTGGTTTTAAAGGGGACCTGCAGGTTTTTATTTATCACGCTGAGGCACCAATAGCCCAGGAATTTAGTGGATGTCCTCCTGATTTCCATGACTGTCGCCTCCTTTTGTCCCACTCAGCAATCTTCATTTGATTTCACACTCCTTTTGTCACCACTTCCTCTGCACCCACTGCTGGCCTAAATAAATTCTCCAAAAACAGATCTCTTTGGCAAAGGTTTGCATCCTCTCTGACGGTCTCCAAGCACTCCGGTCTAATTCCTTCTCCTTAATTTCCCTTGGTTCCCCTTCATTGTTCCTCCTCCTCTTCCCTTTGTTCTTATTCATCTTCTCTCAGGGTTTCATGCAGCTCGTCTGTAGCTGGTAATCTATATTTTACTCCCTCTTGCTTTTGTTTCCCACGCCTCTGCTTTTATGCCCCTTATCCCACTGTTGAAAGCCTTTCCTCTTTTACAGAATTAATTCTGTTTTTGCTTTTTTTAACAATTACAACTATCAGATTAGCAAACAAGTTTCCTATTAGATAAAGATAACCCAAGTAAATCAAAAGATTGATGTCAACTCTGGGATGTTTCTTTACTTGGTTCTGGCCTGTAATTTTGTCATGCCTAGAAATTGACATACTGGTTTACGGCCCAAGAACATGAATAGAGGTAGATGTAAGACACCAGTTTAGCTGTTTAGCCTACAGTTGGGTTTACTTCTACAGGAATTACAAAGCAGGAAGTTTCTCTATTGAAAATGAGCCAGAACCACGGGCATAAATGCAGTGTTCCAGGCTGCATGGAGATAGGGGAAAATGTTCACAGTCTTCCCAAGGATCCGAAGACTCCACGGGCATGGATAATTTTTGTCCCTGTAAAGTTTGATGCTCAGCTGTTCATTTACTCTAAGCATTTTACCAAAGACAGCTTTCAAAATTTTGGACAGTCCAAAGCAGGATTGGCTAAACTTCTTTTACTGAAACGAGGGGCTGTTCTGACCGTAAGGCCATCACAACCACAAGCTGTGAGTATGACTGTCACTAATCTGTTGATAGCAATGCTAGCATATCTATGTTTACCAGGTTTGGGTTTCTGAAAAGTAAGACATTGTATTGGGGTGGGTTTGCTGCTGGGCCACTAACTGGACCAGACCGGGCACTCGACTTGATACGTCAGTTCCAGGGCTGGTCTGGGAACCCTGGCTAACGGGGGCAGGGAGTTGGTGGGGGACAGAACAACCGAACCTGACCCGGTGGCTGTAGGCTGGACACAGGCGACCCCATGCTTCTCCCCGCGTGCCCTGCAAGACCGGGTCGGGTTCGGTCGCTCCGTCCCCGGCTGGCTCCCTGCCCCCGTCCACCGGGTTCCCGGACCCTGAGCTGACGGCCCGGTTTGCCTACCTGTTGCTCTGTAGTCCCAGACAATTTTGAATTCCCCCCGGACATTTTAGGTATTAAAAGTAGGACGTGTCCAGGAAAAAGAGGACGTCTGGTCACCCTACCATACCAACAATTACAGTAGCTACGTTTACATGGACACAACTAATCGGATTGAAGGCCTGATCAGATCAAAAATGTTTCATGTAAACATGTCAGACTGAAGATTCTAATCCGATTCGGTCCGATCGGATCTAAATTTAATTCCGAAAGAGAGAGGTGGTTTTTGCCGATCGCCATTCCGATTGGCGTCCATGTAAACACCCATTCGGATCTTAAGAGTAAAATAATCTTCACTGCGCATGTGTGCGACGTCAGCGTGACGTTTTTCCGCCTTGTCAACAACAGGAAACCACCAGTCGCTCTCGCTCTCGCTGTGAACAACATGGCGGGGGGAGTCTAGGAACGCCGACTTATACACTCAAGTTCATTTAAAGCTGCAGGAAGCAGGAATTTATCCTCCTCCTCTTCCTCTTCTTCCTCTCCACAGCCCACTCGCTCTCCCACGCCGGTTAAATCGCTCATTCTCTACATTTTCTCTCGGACATTTCGCTGCCAAGCGCTTTTTTCCTCCTCTCTCCTTTTTTCCTTCCGCTCGTTCCGAGCGCATCGTTTGTCAGGCCTCCCAAAAACCAGACGCAGACAGAACTGCCAAGTTTGGCAGGAAGTTCTGCGCATGCTTAAAAGATTTAATCTGATCCAACTCTTGGTACATGTATACACACGTCATGATCGGATCATTTCATTTAGTGTCCATGTAAACGGAGATTTTGAATT